ATGGGGTATGCTTTTTAGATTTTCAAGACATTGTACTCCTTGTTCCTGTCATTCTTTATCCTAAATTTATTCTAAAGTGTGTTTTGTTTTGTTTTGTTTTCCCTGTTCTATTCAGGTAATTCTGAATTGTTCAGCCCTGCAGAGTTTGCTACACTTGCTAAGCAGCCCAAAAGAATCTATCAAAAAAGAAGCATGCTGGACAATATCTAATATAACAGCTGGAAACAAAGCCCAGATCCAGGTAACCTTTTCAGCTATGATCAGTAATCTTTGTCTTGCAGACGAGAAGGAACACAGATCTGTTGTTTTTTTTTGTTTATAAGTGCATATTTTTGTATATGCACTGTCACAGATACATAATTGCATACAAGAARTATATTATTTTGTGTAATTAGACTATTTCAATGGCCCAGTTATCTCCAAATTAAAATAATTTAATTTTCTAATCATTTACCATTATAAGTGGGAAGAAAGTCATGGTAGGAAARTTGTCTGAAATAATTTGCTTTGTGCTTTTGACAATCACAAATACAGAAATTCTGAAGTATGAAAAGAATAAGCTACAAACTTTGAGAATCAAATAACTTCTCATATTTCTTGATTTCACCATCAGTCACAGACACCTACATTTGAAAGTACATTATTTCTGGTTTKATTTGCTTATAATTCCTTTTAMAATTTCCATAAATGKGCTTTTTAACACCCCATCCTAGRCATGTATGCTTAGTCAAATCTAAAYRTGCTGTTKATTAAACTGGAGGCTTTAAACAATAGTGGAGGCAATCTAACATGTCACCCTGGAATTTGTCCTTTCTGATTACACTAAATGTTGTAATGCCTTCATAATAAGTGAGGCACTCAGAAGCAAATAACTCCCACTTCTTTATGTCAATCATTGCAATTAGGCCTCCAAATCTGAATCTGGGCTGAGTGGCAGCCATCAGGAAGAATTCCCAGGATTTGTCTCCAGGTGGTAACAATGAGAGATTAAATGTTTTTCTTCAAAGAGAAGTCTTTGGCTAGATGAAGAAGAAGCAACTSAATATATTTTGTTTTCTCTGAGTGTGGTGTTTTGTTCAAGAACAGCTGTACTAAGGGAATTTTTTGCTTGTCTTTCAAGGATGTGGTTTGATGTGATTGGATGTCAGGTGTCCCCCAGAGCTGTTCTATCACTGTTCTCAGTTGTGTAGGGGAGAGAAAATACAAGGAAAGTTTCATGAGTTTGAGGCTAAGGACCTGGTCCAGTGTGGGCTTCCAGTGGGGTCACAGACTCCATCAGATGCCCACCTGCTCTGGGGT